CCATGGGAGCAAAGAAATCGTGTAGCAACTCTTTCTCATAAACGAGTCTTAAGATGGCATAAATGGAATAACTGTCAAGGTTTCTTTAAACAGTCTTTTTATCCTCCACTTTCTCACTAGCTCGCCTCTTTTCTTTTAGAAATAAGGCATGGCGGAAAAGTTGGGACATAATAAAACGTCTCCTCCTGTCTATCTATGACTACATATTCAATTAGTATGAAAATTTATTTTTCAGTAAAGAGCTATTCTTACCAATCAACTCCAAAGGATAATTATTTTTCAGGAATAAATCTTTCACCCATTTCAACTCTTCAGTCAAATGGTTACTGTCCGCCGGTCTCAGACTTCTTATAATCACTGTCTGCAAAATTACAACTTAATTTTTGTAACTATGATTGGGAAGAAAATTCAGAAAAGAGCCTACATATATTGGCCCTCCCAACCTACTTTATTCTCTGATGACTAAGACCTACACAAAAGCTAAGAGCCAAGTCTCCTCTATTGACATTATGAATCTTATGTTTCTTTCACATTTGTCAAATGAAAGCAGGGGACTATCTAAGCTTTCCTCGCCAGACCCAACAATTTGGGTGTTAGTGTTGCAATAAATGTTGCTCAAGTTTGTTCACAAAGCTTAGAGATAAGAAAGATCCCATCGCAAGTCCTTCTGTCTGTTCATATAAATTGCCATCAAAGGTAGAATAAATGCTACTCATGGATCGGTAAAGAAGTGTAAGGATGGAGACTATACTCAACTCAGATGCTGCACCAGAGTTTGTACTAAAGTATGAATGGCTCCTTGAACCCGAATATTTGTGTACATCGACACTGAATTAAAACTTACTGGTCTGTGGCTGAGTAATCCCCAAAGTATGTCTAGTTGGTATGAGATGAATTCACCACCAGCGGGAGTCAAACCGTGACAGGGAAGAATGTGAGCTGGACATGTTAACCATTCGGCCACATTTCCACGAGTGCTATTTGGTCACAGCGCAGATTTCAATTTCAAGAAGCAAGGTCGAAACTTGTCATTCCACTCCAGTCAGGATGAGAATAACTTTTGTGAAAGCATGGCCATGTGAAATTGAATGGAAACGTCAGCTCTAATCATATGAATGTGGGAAAATTCTTCTACCAGTCCTTCATCACCTTAAACGAAATTGGGTGAATACATCTCATACTACTGATTTACTGGTCCTTAAAACAATACTTAAATGCGAAAAATAAAATAACGTATTCGATTGTTATAGCAAAAATACATTTGCTTCATCTGAAAAATAAAATGAAATTTAATGGAAACTTCAGCTCTACTCATATCATTGTGGGAAAATTCTACTACCAGTCGTTCCTCACTTTAAACCAAATATGATTAACACATCTCATGGTAGTCTCTAAAATCTGCTTATATACGAAACATGTGTCTAGTTGGGTTGCTGAGCGTAACAGACATGTTTAATGACTGTAAATGTACTTCTAAGCATTAATGAGCCAACCTACTGAATCTCGATCTTTTTGTAGGCAGCCAAACCTTTTCTCTCCTTAAGTGTACCACTTTGTTATAGGTATTTGTACTGCAAATATATATATATTTATATATTTACAGTGATTTTTGGAGTTTTGGTATATACATAGCATTTAAGGGTTATCCAGTTAGTTTTCCTGATTTAATAGTAAACGGAAGATGACCATCAGATCTCATGAGATAGGAAAGCCTGACCCATTTTCACCTAAACTCAAAAAAGGATGTCTCGTCGTCCGCCTCAACCGGAGGGTCGCAGTAACAGTAAATGAATACAGAGCAAGAGAAATCATTCGTCGTTTGTTGACCAGATCAGTTTACAGATCTCTTCATCAGGCATACTTTCACCAGAAGTGAGAGTCTGTCCTCAAGTTAGCACATGCTTTATTTTTTCTCTTGTCAAAATGAGACATTTGCATAATTCTATTAAATTCAATCATTCTCCACGTCAATATTTCGTCACGTAGGCTGGCAGTAGAGTTGTAACCACGACAATCTGTGGGAAGTTATGAAGAAGGTGAGGTGTGATAATGGAAGAAAAATGTGATATTTTGTAGCAATTTTACTTTCTCAACTGAAGTCAAGTGCAACTGGATTCCACCCTTCCAAAGAGCCGGCCATGCCTGGGTCTCGTAAACAGCTTGTCTGTCGTTGAGTTGTCGTTTTAGTCTCTTCCCGCAATTGAGGATTAATGAAGAACTCGGAAGCCTAAATTTGTACTATCTTTCTTTTATCCTTCCCTCCCTGTCCTCATTGTCCGCTAACCGCGAAATGTTCATACCAAAGCGAGTCTATCTGACACTACTTCCTACTTGGGAGCACGAAGGAGCAAGTCATCACTGCAGACGTAATTCATGGGTAAGCATAACGACATCATTTGCGTTACTAACGCACTGTTTTAGTCACTAGCGGAAGCGTAATGTGTATGCATTATTGCTCGAGTGATATTTTGGCAGGTTTATTAGTGACTCGGGCCTAGCGACCGCTTACGGGCAACCAACGATCATAGATCATTGGTCGGGGCCATAGTTGGTACTGGATTCGAGGCCGGCTCAAGCTGTGATTGGCCAACGAAGGAGGACTTGGAAACAGAATGGGTCAAAAGCCAAAGCCAACGAGGTCAAAATAGACAACCGAACACAGAGAACTAGGCACAGACACTTTGCAAACAGACTTTTTGGAATGGTGCGCCAAAGCGAAAATATCCAAAACATTTTAATCTTTTTTATTTTAGGTTTTGCATTTGTTTTCGATCGGGCCGACAAAAGACTCGAGCGAACTTCGAAGAGTATCCAGTCCTGCATGAGCTGCTCCAATGGGGCCAATGCATTAGGCAAGCACGTTTTCTGGCGGTCGGCTCAACAGTTTGGTACTTTTGTGTGCATTCTGCATGCAGCCCAACACGAAGCCATCGGATGACTGTCGTGGAGGAAGCTTGAGACTGGGAGAGAGAAACGGAGGCATGATTTCTTTTAAAAAGCCTTTATTTTCGCTTTGAAGGTGTAAATAGAAGAGGACTTTCAAGCAGACACTGGAAGTAGATAAGAAAAAACGCTTTGAAAAACATAATGTATTTCGTGCGAGAACGTCAGTTTTCCATTCGTGTAAATACAAACACATTCTCATCATACTATTTACGTGCTCGCTAAGATGCGAACTTAAGGTGAAATAAAGTTTTAATTAAAATTTTTTCATCATCAATACACAGTCACGAGAAGGGCGAGAGTCGAAATTATCCAACGCCTCAGACGATTGGTACTATATGATCTATCCTGTCGGAAGGATGCAAAGTAGATGCTGTATGAAAATAAGGTTTAAATGATGGGCAAAAGTGATAAAGTAGCTGTGTATGCGTCAAAATGATACCAGAAGAGACCCTTAAAAAAGTACAATACAGACACGAGGTTAATTTGAAGTTGGTGTAGGCAATTTCCTTTTGTTTTCATACAAAGCAGGCTTCGAAACTATCGGCAAATGCTGAATAAGAATTCTGTTCACTCTAGATTGCATAAGATTATGGAGGACTCATGGCTGAATTTTCCCACAATCATGTGGGCGTCAGCAGAACAGCCCGGTTTCCACTCCCACTAGGGGTGCTGATGAGACCGGTGCAGACGACAACCGAGTCCAGTCGAACTGAGAATACATTTTGTGTTGAGAAAAATTCTATAAAAATTGAGCCATCAGTCCTTCATCCTCTTATGCAATCTATGGTACTGGGGCTCTTATTTAACATTTTCTAGCCTCCGTCGCATCATTGGTTCTGTAGATGTGAACGCAATGAAACGGATTTAGCAGTATTCTGTCTTGGACCCAGATACTGGATAGACAGGGTCCTACTAATACGGAAGTCCAGCTGATTGTGACAAGGTGCAACATGAAGATCAGCGTCGAGAGAAAAAGCTTCCAAAGACGAATCATCGTCGACACAAAGGAGGGAGTCGTGGGGAAGGTAGTTGGGAGATTTTCCTATTTTATTGCTTTGCCACTCCCCGATTAGTAATTGGTTCACAAGTTGCAATAGTATAGTTGAGATGAGGCGAGTGTCTCACAGGATTTGGCACCAAATGGAAAATCTATGTTGTATGGCTGGATTGTTTAAATCGTTGCGATAGAGTAGTAGGGTTAGAATTATCATACACGAATTCATAGGCCGAAATGTGATACCAGAAAGACTGGGTTTCGAAGAATCCCTTAAGCAAGTGGTTCCCAAACTTTTCCTAGTCGCGGCGCCCTATCCTAAGTATGACTATTCGTAAGTAAGAAATAAAACTCGTATATCTTCGTTATTGCTTTTACTTTATTAACATTAAATAACTAATGTGATGGATAAGCCTGCAAATCACTACACATTTTTAAAAATTGAAGCTTCTGAAATATTTCGCGGCTCCCCGGGGCGCACAGTTTGGGAATCACTGCCTTAAACTTTGAATGTAAGTCGACTGGAAATTTGGTTGGAAGGGATTCGTGAATGAACCTCAATGGAAGACTAAGGAGCGAAAACTGTTGGATCGTGCTAAGAAGCCCTCGACTTGGTATTTATCGGAGTCACGGAGCTGTAGGCCAAAGCCATCTCAGCACTGTCCAAGCAGATCCTCCTTCGGACTCAAGTAAGACCAAATAAAAATTCGAGTACACGAAATATGATACCACCGCGTCAGCAATCACCATATTTAGACGATCATTAGGAGAATTTGGGATGGAATGTATGTGCAAGTTGACACATAAATTCTTAAGGCCACAGGCTCGTGAGCTTTTTAGACGCCAGGCCATGTCTACCACGACTGTCGACTTTGAGCAACCCTAAAGCGTTGAACTGGACAAAAATTGCTTTTCCCTTCACTTCTCTCATTGCCATTTGGGCATTTGGGCTGCCCTGGAGTGGCAGAATTATTCTTTTTTCAGCTATCATAGACAGGTCCTATCTTTCCCAACACCTGAAATACAATAAATAAATAAATAAGAAGTCTTGACCTCATACTGATCTTTAACACATAAAAGGAGCAGCAGAGCTGCATGGAAGGTCTCATCGGATCCAGGCTTTCAACTGATCCAACCATACCAAGCAAGCGATGGAGCACGAGCTAGTTCGTCGGATTAGGTGTAACAAATATGGATTGGAGAAGGTTCAATGGCCTGAAATAAAAGTCTTTCTGGGTTGTAATTTTTCTGAAGCTCCCAATCATTATTCAATGTCCGACTAGACGACTAGTAACACTTTGTAAGCGCTTCAAGAGAATCGTCCAACGGTCGGGCACTAAAAGTTTTAGGTTGGTTTACGCAGACTAAAGCACAAACTGTGTCGACAGAAAAGCATATCAGATTGTGCCATGTTAGCATCAGCGTGCTAGGATTCACACTTAACTCTAAAGTTGAGTTGGGCAAAATAACAACCACAACGCACGAGATGTATTCATTCTATTTCGTCCAAGGTGATAATGCGGTCTCAGGAGCCTGCTCGTGGCCGAAAAA